TTTTCCTATCTTGTTATTTGAAGCTCCTTTTAACATAGCTGCAGCTTACTCGGGGGTAGGTATTTAGCCCTACATGTGGCAGGTGAGATGCCAAATTTTTATCAACAGTAATTTGAAGTCATGTGCTGCGATTTGCTTTAATTGCCACCAGAATTGTATCTGGGTACCAAGTAAGTTATGGTCAGAAGGCAAATGACAGAGAGAGAAATGTAAGCATGCTAAGAGATGCTGTCTCTTAGCTTCCAAATGTAGATGGAGGGCGGGGGAAATGTTTTCAGAAACTAACATCTTTCTGTTACGTACTACAGTAAAGGAGAGGGAGGAGTATACATAGATGAGCCCTTTGCAGCCAAGCTAAATGCTTTGATGGATGATGCCTCTGCGAGGTTTGGAAATACTACCTTTTCCATTTTTTATTTTTTTTTACACATAAGGAGTGAAAAAACCTTACTTTCCTGAGGTCACAGTGGAGGCAGTCTGTGGCAAAGCAGGAATTTGAATTCAGATTTCTCAGTTCTTAGGCTAGTACCATAAAAACTAAACGACCATTAAAAAAAAAAAAATCAGCGACAATAAAATGCAGAGGGCTTTTTTTTTTTTAAAAAAACCAAACCACCATAATAAATAGAGCTTTCCAGTGTGCAGTTCTGCTAACCTTCCCAATTATTCTGCTTGTACAATTCAGCCCTGTCCTACTGTCTCTGTCTTAATTGATGTGAGATCTTCAGGACTTAGCTTTATATTATGCTAAACACACACAACATCTAGTGCAGTGGAGGGCAGCCTTGAAGCACTGCTGTGACTTAAATAAAATCCCTTAAGGTTTGGAAGCTACACACAGGGATGCTGAGCAAATGCAAATACAAACAAAGTGAAACTTAACTAGTTCCACTGTGAAGAGAATTCAGAAAATTACTGAATTACTGATCATCTGAAATGGCAAGAAACTGGATTTTGAGAAACATTTTCCTTTTTTTTTTTTTTTTAATACTCATGACAACACAGGGAAAGATTTGTTTTTCTATGATTTTGATCTTTGCAGGTTTTCTGTAAACAAGCTTTGCTAATCTCCTAAATTGATTCGTGTCCTTTGCAAGCACATATTATGTGCATCTAGGACTTTGCTTACAAACTGAAGAATTAAAACACAGTCAGTTACTTTCTTCTCCAAATCTGATGTATTCCAGGTGCTTCTAAAAATCTCTCCTGAAAGAAACATTAAAGAAATGCAAAATAGAGTCACTGAACAAATCTGTCTGTGAAGGTGAAAACCAGTTACCAAAGACTTGATGAATAGCACTTTTGAGGGTTATGAGCAGATTTGTAGTGCAGATACCGGTTGCCTTCTCTGATGATGCATTTTGCCGTTTCTTTTATGTATTTGAAAGGGAAAAATTCTCCCCAAATAATTTATGTAGGAGAGAGTGGGGCTGGACAGAAGAGCATGAATGTACTGTCATCTCCATTTTGTTTATAATTATGAATTGTAACCTGCTGTGGGAAGGAGTGACAAGTGGCACAAGAAGTCAACATTAATCCTTTGTGATTACCACTTCTCTCTTCAGTATTTTCTGTGAGAAAACTAGTTGCACTCATTACAATGTGTTCATGTCCCTGCTGATGCTGAGCCCAGAGGATGGCAGTCTTCCTTGAGGTCAGTGGTTCAGTTTGAGAGTGAATTTCCTCAAGACCGCTGGATTTTCAGTACTCCAGAGAACTTATTTCATTAATCTGCTTCTGGCAGCGGGATGCTTTCTTTATTCCTGCCAGTGCAATTTCCTAAAGTAGACTGATTACAGACAATGTGACAGGATGGTACTGGTGGTGGTACTAGTCATTGTCCCTGTGAGCCAACTGCATAAAACCCACTTGAGATGCAAGAAACTCTGATGTGACAATTCGGGGTTTTTTTAATTGAAAGGGGTGAAGGATGGGTTTGTGATTAAGACACTGTACTGGGATCTAGGAGATCCTGGATCAGTTTTTCTGCTACGGACTTTGCATGTGACCTCGAATCAGCCAAGCTGTTGGAATATACAGTTTTGGGGGCACTAAACTGAACTGATGTACAGATGAAAGATATTTTATATCTTAAAAACAAAAGGAGGAGGAGTGGTATAGGTAGAGGAAACCTTTAAGAAGCTCAGCTCTCACCACAGATCTCTGAAACAAGGAAAGAGAATAATAAGAACCAGAAGAGAATGATAGGAAATGGGACTTAAAGGGTCTTCTAAAGGTCATCCGCTAAATTCCTATGACCATAAGCAAGATCAGCTGCCTAAGCTGTACCTGACACGTTATCTGGGTTTGCGGCATTGCTATAGAAGTTTGCTAGCTAAAGAGCAAAATAGGTATGGGCTTTTTGCTAATGCAAAAGATGCTATGGACTGCAGTGCTATTCATGAGATGCTGTAGTCAAATAATAACGTACTGAGAATTTATAGTGCATTTGTTGAATCTGTACATCTCAATGTCCTTCACAAAATTGCATTTTGCAGAAGTGACTTTATAAACTGTGAGGACTCGCAATGAGTCAAATGTGGACATGGCAATACACAGCTTGAATCTTTTGGCTCCTTTGCTTTGTCTCGAGCACATTGTCTGAAGTGGCTAACATCTGTACCACTTTATGACAGTATCAGGGAGCCTCTTGAGCGGAATTTGGATTTTCCACTACACAACTCTTGTTGAAGATACTTAATCTCTATTTATAATTTTTATCTAATAATGCTGTGCATTTATATCTTACATTGTTGTCCAAACACTCAATAAACACTAATTCACTGCAATAAGTGTAAGCAGACTGTAGTAAACAAGTAAGTTAATGGTCCTGTTATCCTCTGATTAATAGGAGCCATGCAACCAAAAGCAGTGAGACACAAACATTTGTGTCCCACAGCACTGTGTTAAAAGAAATGGTTTTTATAAATCATAATAGTAGGTAAAGAGCTGCAAATTTTCAAAACTTGGTCTTCTCACTGGCGATCAGGCATCTAGATTGTATGACTTCAACTAGACTGAAGCCTTCTTTTGGGCTGGAGAGTTTTATTGACTTAATATTGACTTCTTCGGGTATTAACTTGTATGCTTCCACAGTTACTTGATGTAAACTTGGCAGAATCTAAGGTTTGTGTTTGGCTGAATAATTCCACTTCCCTAGTAGTATAAACTCAATTATATATCCCGATGTGGGCCCTGGGGGTAGTCAACTGTTGACTGCCCCAGCTGTTTCTGAACTCTTTCAGTTGTGGGGCAAAGGCAGTCTCTGGGAATGGATGTTAGGAAGATCAATAGATGTACGGGAAACAAAACCAAACCAGGGTATGTTTTGTGGGCAGACCTCTGCTGAATAGCAGTAAGCTTCTGTACTCGAAACAAAACGCACCTCTCCCTTTTCCCCAGGACAATTAAAACTTTGTAGGCTCTGGAATTCTGCATAAGGAACAACAGTTAAGAGCATAAACCCTGTGATTTTAAGAATCTGGTTGGAGTAAACCCACCTGAATATGACACCTGAGAGTCAAGTTTAATCGTTCTAAAGTTAACTAGTTTCTATGTTCAATGCAAGAAAAGCATAGTAAAACCCCCTCTATTAGAAGTGGTAAAACTACAGGGGGTTGTTTTTCATGAATTAAATATGATTATGAGATCTTATAAAACCTTGACGCATCTCAAGAGGGGAGAGGTAGTTTGGTTTCTGTGTGAAAACCAGCCTTCTACCTGCCTCAGTATTATCACCAAGCAGGTGGTGGCACAGGTGGTGTTCAGCAGTATATTGTTACTTGGAGCACTTCCTAAAACTTTAGTTCTCAGGGGAGTTCAGATGTTGTTAACCCTTTCTGATAGCTGAAGAGCCTTGTGGAAAGCACAGGGAGTCCTCCTACCTGAAGTACTGCTTCGGTTATTCAGCAAACTATGAATTTTTTTTATATTTTCAAATGAACCTACAGTTCACCTCCTAGTGCACTTTTAAACGTCTTGCTTTATTTGGTTCCTCTCCTTCTAATCACTTCTTTTCCCTTTCTGCGTTGATCCTTCGTTCAGTGTCACGCTTTGGAAATAACCATATGGGTTTTTCCCCTTTTACTGTTTTCTTAGAAGTCTTGCTTTAAAAACTCTGGAACTTTTTCCCCCTAATCTTGCCTGGATACCTAGAGCTTGAATCCTGCTTTGCTGACAGACAGCTGCCCTTTCTGTTTTGTTTTCTGGCTGTTGTTATAGCTGCTGATAGTTGGCTTGCTCCATTTCTGGGCTCATTTGATGTATATCACATAAACTGTTTCTATGTTTATCTCCCTTCTTATTCAAGCATTGAATGATAGCGATCTCCTAACTATCATTATTTATATATAATAGTGGGTAAGGGACTTGTTCCCATTTCACAGATGAAGAAGTTGAATTGTCCACAACTTCCCTGATTCTTCAAGTCAGTGGTAGATTTGGCTTCCCAGTTTGTACCCTCTTTGCTTGTAGGCTGATTGTGCTGATTCCAGGATCTACCTTGAGTAAGGTTGAAAATAACAACAGGGAGAAGTTAAAGCAGTTAGGGACGGGGCGGGGAAGCTTGAACTATCTACTTTTTCTGTGATTGAAACATTATGAGTTCCTGGGCTTTGTAAGACAACACCTTTTATCAGTATATAAACCGATTTAAAATGTTTTAAAAAAACAAGTTTTCTCTTCCTCTCTCTTTTTTTTTTTTTGTTTTGTTTTGTTCTGTTTTTTTACAGGTATCAGTCAGAGCCGGATCTCCCATTGGCTGTTGCAGCAGGGGTCGGACCTGAGTGAACAAAAGAAAAGGGCATTTTACAGATGGTACCAGCTTGAGAAGACAAATCCTGGTAAACAAATACAGTCTAAACATCTCCTGCTGTTTTATTTATGGAAAAGAAGCCTTTTGTCACTGGTTTTTACTGTCACTGATCATTCACTTCTTGCTCTGGTGTACTGAAGAGGTATTCCCTCTGACCAGTCTGCTTTTTAGGAGGGTAGGAACAAATCTATGCTTTGCTTTGCAGCAGATGATCCAGAGCTGACTCATCCTTAGCTGTCTGTCCAGCTTCTCGGTCACGGTTACTTGCCCTGTCCTCTCACCGGGGAGAGCTAACTCTGGGAATCAGAAGCAGTCCGTGAAGCTGTAGTCAGCTAACATGAAATATATGCTGAGGCTCTTAAGAATGAACAAATAAAAACCATTAATAATGGCTGTGTAATATAAAGTTGCAGCAAAAAAAACTGCATTTCAGCAGAGAGGAACTTTGGGATAACTTCAGAGGGTTTGGGGTTGGATCTCATGGATGGGATGTTGATAGTTACAGTGATAAGTTGGAGATGCGTCTCTCAAATCCCACCTGCTTCTCCAAATCTCAAAATAGATCTTAAATATAAAAAGAGAAGTAAAGCTCCTCATTATCTTTAACTAACCAGCAATCTTCAAAATCACAGTTGAATTAATTTCCTTGTATTGTTCTTCTCCATAGATTTTGTTTGACCACAGTTCTTATTTTTTCCTTTAGCGGTTTTATTGTAAAGATCAAAATATTTACATTTAATTTCCTTTAAACAATGGCATGATTAAATTAACTCTGTAATTGTTTTAAGGAATTTAAGACTCAGGCTCTCTAATGTGAACTTGGCTTCAATATCTAGAATTCTATTAAGAAAAATTCCAGTGAAAACAAATCCTCAAAACTTCTGCTTTGTGTGTAAGCTGAAAATCAAGAGGCTCCAGCTGTCAGTTGGCCTCAGAATACTTCAGCTTAAAGTTGGGTGGCTTCAAAGCCACAGCCGAGCCTGTCCTTTCTGTTAAGCATCTAGAAAATTGCTTTAAAGAATGAAAGTGCCAAGGGTTGTGACGTGCTGACAAGCTGCAGGGATCACTGAGAAGCCTTGGTTGTGCAGTGGCTGGAATTGTCGTACTAAGGATCGGCAAAGTTACTGGATACAAGCGTTCGGTATCAGCTGCTTTGAAAGCCTCAAGTTGTACCTTACGAAGTAATTCTCAGCCATTTCCCTTTGGTGGAAGGTATTGCCTCCAAAACAGTGGAGAGAACTAGAGGTCTTTTGGAAGGTGTATTCTGGAAAAAAACCCAGAAGTCCTCTCCTAACGACGAAAACTGCTGTGTGGATCCTTCCTATAGCCTTGGATCTTTTCTTTCCAATATCATGTGGAGCTGTTTAAGAAATAGTATTCTGTGCTGGGATAAGAGAAGCCTTGTCAAACTTAGCACTAAAATCTTTACTTCTTCCTCTTAACCTTCTCTCTTTCCCCATATCCGCAAGCTCACATCTTGTTTGTCCTTTCGCTATTGAGAAATGTCGAAGGAAGGAAGACTAGCAACACTGAAGGTTACGGCTTAAACTGAAATGAATCGACATTAACCTGTACTTTTCCGACGCACTGTCTTGCTGAGGTCTCGTTCACTTTTCTTTATTCACATGTGGAAAAATTTCTTGAAGAGTGGTTGTTTGAGTTTAACCTTTTTTCAAATAAGAGATCTTATACAGCGTTTTTAAGAAGTGTAGAAGGCAAGATGGCTCCTCTGCCTATGCCAAGGGACTACTTGGATGCACTTAAATTCCCTTTAGAACCAAATAACATTTGGTTTCTTTTTAGAGGCTGAGGCAAAGGGGGGAACCCGCAGTTTTTTCCCGTAGCTGTTGGAAAAGTCTACTTGAGGAAAATGGTTGTGTTATTTATCGTAGGATAATCCACTGCTTTGAATTATTGCCATCTACTATTGCAGGTCAGACTGGCTAGCCAAGAGATAATTAACGTGCGTATGTGCGAGTGTATACAGTGTATTAAGGAAGGTACCAACCTTGTCCAAAGCATCCTGGGTTTAAATCACTGTTATAAAACCAATTTGGAGCCTAAGTTTTGGATACTACTTACAGTATCCTGTGATTAGTAGACTGGACTAGCCGTTCTGCTGCCTTCTTTAGAGTCAGAAAATGAGGAAATCAGTAGAGCCTCCTGCCCCGTTCACAAAGAAGCGATGCCGTCACTGCACCCTCTGTAGAGTGTAAAAGATTGTCCTCCTTTGAAGAAACTTAAGAGATTAAATGACTGGCATGTGCTTTTTCTATTCGCTCACTTACTAGGAAGTGACATTTGGCTTTCGATTCTCATATATCCCATCTTTTCCAATTCCAGCTGCTGGGAATAAAATCTCAATCCTTCTCCTTTGAGTGATAGAGTGAGGTGTCTCTGCGCAGAAGCACCTACGCATTTGAGTTACCTGCCAATGGGCAAAGTGAGGTCTTCGGGAACTTTTAGTTCCCCCGTTTCCTTAGTTCCTTATTTTGGAAAACTGGATCTTCAGAGTAAGTCCACTTTCTGACTGAATTTGTGTAGTAATGGAAAGAAAACTTTCGCTGAAAATTGAAACAGTTTTGAAGGACTAGGACACCAGATATAATCAATTTATGAACTGTAAAGAAAGAACAGTTGTTTCGTGAGGAAAGCACTGGAGATCATGTGGCAGACTGTAGTCTTTCCTTGGCTCTGCTAGTTTTTCTGTACAACTCTTAGCAAATTATTTCACCTTTGCACCTCACTTTCCCGTCCCCTAGATAAAGATGAGACCATTAACCTGTGTATGACTTGCCTGCCTTGCCTGTAGGGTCCTAACAGCAGGGACTGTCTTTTACTACGCTTATATACTGCACCCAGCCAGGAGTTTCTAATAATAAAGGGGACAAAAGATGACTCATAAATACATCAAAAGAGATTTTAGTTTTCTATTTTCAAATGTATAATGGTGCTATATAACACTTCAAATCATCCACACGCAGTCCTGCATCTGCTAACCAAAGAACTTCGTGTTGTGGAGCCTTAGGGCGGTTTTGAGGCGTTGCTGCTGTTGAGACGTTGCTAGGTGTTGCTCCTATACAGAAGAGACTCAGCAGTTCCATCACGTTCGTTATTTGCCAGCTTGCTTTGGTCTCTTGAATATGCTGTTTGTTGTTCGCTTGGTTTTGATTGCTTATTTGCGTGCGTACTTTCAATATTTCTCCTATCTTTGGTGGCGGGTGTTCAGGCAACAGCAGGCTGGAACATTGCAAAAAACCCTTCAGTCTCATGGATCTGAAAAAAAAACCCACTTTTCCTACTGTATGCAATGATCTTGCTCAAAAATTTCTCCATCAGTGTTTTCCTGGTAGGAGTGATGTTGGAGTTAACAGCAATGCTGCGAATTCCAGTGTACTAGTGATTGTAAATTTTTCTGGAAAGAGTTGCCAATGAGGATGAAAGGCAGTTTTTTGTTGAAGGGAAGAAGTCAGTGCTAAACGCTAGTGTTTGAAAGGTCTTTAATCCAATTAATAGGGATGCTTTTCATTTAGATCAGGCTTTTTTTGGACAGGCACCACAGCTCTTGTGTTTTGTAGAGGACGGAGAGCATTTTGGCAGTAGATAAATAGTATATGTTTCAGAAGCCAGTATATGAGTGCATGGAGTCCCATAACGTACTGATTATTTTTTCCAGAGCCCATGGGTTTCAAATAAATAAATAAATATTTCTTTTTACATTGGTAGTTGTTAGCCTGATTAGTTTGGCTGGCACTGGGTCTTGGGCAATGTGGAAGGCTTGTTATGCAGTAACTTTAGCATGTCTTTTGCCTCTATGTATTGCAAACTGAAGCTGGCACCTAGAAATGATGTGCTGAAGTTACAGATGGATACAGACTGCTTCTGTTTAGGCTGGATATTTATTTCTGCCAGTCTTCTGTAATAGGAAGGCAGCTGTGGTCACCTTGGAGAAAACCATATGCTCTTCCTCCTTGAACAAAAGGGAAAAAGAAAGGTAGTTATTATTAAGATGTAGCATCTCTTGTGTTATTCCCACAGCAGCTCTTGTTTAGCTATAAAAGAAAACCCTACCAAAAAAAAAAAAAAAATCAGGGGCTGGATATCCCATGAGATTTGCACTGGAAACGTATTGTTGGTGATTTACTGTTTTACAGAGCTGCAGAGAAAATAGTCCCTGCTCTGATCCCTTCCATCCAAGCAATGAGCTCTGTAGGGAACCTTTTGCTGTGCAGGCTGCTGATTCAAATCTAGCCTGTCTCAGTAGTAACTGAAAGGTGTTTATCATGTGATCTCAGGTCAGTCTGGCTAAAAATAAAGTGTGACATCTGTTCTTATCAGTGTAATATATGATAGGTACTCGCTGCAAAGGCTTGCTGCTAAATGGTTTTTTGGAGCTGGGAGATGGCCTGAGGCTTGCTCCAACCATTCTGCGCATCGCCCCTGAATGGCAGGGCCTCTCTGAGACACGTGATGTGGATCAGCAGTTGCATGTGACGCTTTTAAGAGCAACTCTCTTTCTTCAGAATAGCGTCTGGGATGTGCTGAGAGAAGGCAGGCCTTTGCCATGAGGAATTTTGAGAACAGAGAGAGAGCTGCATTCCAGTTGGAGAGCACCGCTCTTGCCTCCTCTCCCCAAAACCCACCTGTAGCATCCCCAAAGTCATACCCCGCATTTGAGAAAATACTGGCTTGCACAAAGAAAATTCCATATTGTTGCAAAAGGTGCTCGGCACTGGCAGGTAGTGAGAGATGTAGCTTTTCATTTTTCTCTGCGAAAGGAATTCTCCCCAGACGGTTCACCTCTATACCCCTTAGAGATGTCTTGCTTTTTGATGCATATACTAAGATGAAAATCTCATACTGCATTTGCTCCGCTCATTCTGCTCAAGAGAGAAGTTTCACTTCTTCTTAAAAGCTGTTTGAGGGGTTTGTAAAAAGAATCTGACCTAATAACTAGGATGTAACTTACTAAGTTGTAAAGAAGTGGAGCTGGGTGGTGAGAAGATTGCAACGAAGCGTTGGAACAGCAGAATAAATGGGATCCCCAAGTGCTCACTTAATTGAGGGGGATGAAGAAAAGCTCCATAGTTACCTTATCAAATGTGGCAGCAATGCCTATGTCCACCACTTTGCCACTCATACACAAATAAACTCATACATAAATGCCACTTGGGTAAGCGCGTTTTGGGCCTCTGTATGCATTCAGATGCTTCCGTCTTTATGCGTGTGCAAAAACAGTGGTGGGTACTTGCTTGTAATTCTCAGCATACTTCTCTCTTATCTGTTGCTGATATTGATGTTACCCCATAGAAAAGAGAAATAGGTAAATTGATCTAGCAAGGCTACTAAAACAAAAAAAGCATCTTATATTCAGTAGGTGAATATATCAGTAGCAGGAACAAATTTATGCTTTAAATGCAGATTTTTTTTTCAACCTTTGTCTGAAAAATCTCAGGCAAATTTAATGGAAATACCCTGCGTCTCTTACCTTGATGTTAGGCATCACTGATATTCCTGTACTCTCCCTGTGAAATTAAATCCTCAGGTAGAGAAAGTATATTGCTAAGACAATGCAGGGAAAGCTAATTTCTTGTCCTGTTCTCTCCTGCCTCTTTTTAAAAATTGGGGGGTTTTAAGTTTTTTAGTATTTGGAGAGCATTTAAAGCCTAGCTCCTTGATACTGACCTGGACCCCTAAACTGTGCAAGTGCTAGAAAGAGTAGATAAGGAACTTTCCTTGAAACGGCCTCCCAGTAAGTTGGCAATATAGGAAATGCTTCATGTGTCAGTAAAACTAAGTAATCTGTGTAGGCTCGTTAGCTGGGAATTAGTAAGAGTCACCGTCCGTTGTGGATGTAAGGCAGAGATTGTGGGCTTCCCTTCCTATAGACTTCTCCTGGGTAAAGTTTTTAAATTACTTTGGGCTCCCCTGCCTAACACAGATGCAAGCCCCTGGCAGTATGGAAAAAAACTCATTGCGCATTTCTGGAAAGGAACACACAGCCAAATGCATAAATAGCTAATTTCTTGCTTTTTAACTGTAGGAATTTGTTTATTGGTTAAACTCGTAAGTTCCCTTAACCCTTTTACTCTGTTTTAAATTAAACAAGCAGTGTTGTTTCACTAACACAGTATGTTTATATGATTAAATCCTAACCATTCTGAGCAAGTCTGTGTACCCAGAGGGATTTGCTGTCTCAGCCCTGCTTTTACATGTGCACAGCACTGTATTCCTCCCGTGAGCAGAGCGGCCTGCTTCTCTTGGATCTATCCAGGCTGGTTCAGTGCATGAATTCCAGTTGAGCTCAGGATGCATGTGGGATATAGGTGGTGATTTATCTTTTCATACGACTGTTTTGTGTTTTATTTTTTGCACACAAGAACAGCTATTTCTTCCCTCCAGGGGAAGTCACTGAGCACAAAGCTGTCCTTCAGAACATACCCTGTTTTATGTACTAATGTCCTATACCAGGTTCCCATCCTCACCAAGGGATATATGAAAGATCGGTTTCCCAGTGTGTCTTGATTTATCTTGATTTATTAACTGAGGGGCTGTTGTGGAAAGGATCGGGGTAAGTTTCAAAGGGCCTTTCCTGAGGGCATTGTGCCAAGTCCTGTCTCTTGCTTGATGCTTTCCAGCTCAGGCTTCTTGAAAGGAGAAATATATCCATAGAAGGGGGACAGAAGAGGAAAGGTGTGCTGTTAATCTGCTTTCAGTGACTTTTTCAGGCAACCTGGCACTCAGGAGCCTGTGTTTGCACAGGTCACAGGGTGTGTTTCTATCAGTGGAGCTATTTCAAGTGTTTACTCAGCTCTTCGGACACATCGAAATACCTTTGGTATAAATTTACGTTTTGCTTCCTGAGACTGTTCTACAATTAAATAGAAACCTGCTATTTCCCGTTTCATGGCAGAAGAGGTAGCAGCACAGCCTAAATAAATCCCAGCCTGGGGCATAGCTCACCCTTTCTGTAAGACACTTTTCCTCTTGATGAAGACGGGACAACTTTTCCTAAGTGGCTATCGGCTCAGTTATGTCTCCCTTAGATTTCCATGGTCACCTGATACCTCTCTGGCTTGGAGGTTGGGGATGGGAACTCTAGCTGGCTTTGTGTATCTTTAAGGTGTCTTTGTTTGATAATGCTTTACTTTTTTAGTTTGAATGGTTTCATCACCTGTCTTGTCTTTTTTTCATGAGCAGGAGTGAGAAAATGGGCATGATTTTTAATCCACTAGGAAACACAGTGTTTATTATTCTTAGGGGCTACGTTAAGCATGAGACCCGCTCCTATCCCAATAGAAGAGCCAGAATGGAGACAGACGCCTCCCCCAGTCACAGCTACCTCTGGGACCTTCAGACTACGGCGAGGCAGTCGGTTCACATGGAGAAAGGAGTGCCTGGCTGTTATGGAAAGGTATGTCACTTTGGGGTTATGGAGATGGGCATTTTAAAGCCATTTTTAAAGCCAAGTATCCTTTTTGCTGTTCTGGTGAACACCAGCTTCATTTTCATGGATGTGTTTTAGCATCACGCAAGCCAATAACAGTGTAATCATCTGATTCTAGGCGATAGAGTAGGTGGAGCTATTTCACCCCTTCTGTTGTTTGAATATGTTATACTGCTTTGGGCAATATCTCTTTTTTTTGTAGGCCCTAAGGCACGTTGTCCTTAGCTCAGTCTGAGAGTGTTCAGCTCTTCCTTTTCTTTTGCAGAAACCTTTCCTTCTAGCCTAATCCAAGCTCGGTCTTGGGGGGGGCGCTGCACACTCTTTACATTCTACATTTCTCTTTTCCCAATTTACTGATTCATCCTCATAATGTATCATGTTATTTTGTAGTTGATACTGGCATTTTGGCAGCACTATAATTGTTCAGGATGCAGAACTTTGCCTAACAAGCAGTAGATTCCTTGTCCAAAAAGGCTCTTACAACCCTTTTACATGAACTGGGAACAGTTCAGAGCAAAGTGGATCTTTCAAATACATATGCAGAGTGGCAGGTGATCATTAGAGCTCCCAGCTCTTCAGTCCCGCAGAGACGAAGCACTCTCTGAGCCTGGTCTGCTGGCTGCCTATGTGCTTTGCCTTTTACTTAGAGTAATGTCTCTTTTGTGGATAATACTGTATAATAGAAAAGGGCTAGTGAACTCAAACATGTTTTAGGGATGAATGCTTATTTCTGTTAAGGGCTAAATGGCTGGGAGGAGTTTTCTTCCTTCCGAGAGCACGAGGAACCTCCTTTCCACAAAAGCACCAGATGACTCCCTGTGTGTGTGCTACACTCCTCTCTGGTTTGCAACTCCATTGAGCCCTTGGCCAGCAGGTTTTTAGGATGTGCTTTTGCCCCTTCTGTAATGCTTCTCTTTCCTCTTGTTTGCACAAGGGTCTTTGGAACTGGTTAGGACTAGGAGAGTGTCTCCTTTTGCCTAAGCTAAGACCAAAATACCAAACTCCCTCAGGGACCCGAGCCGTTTTACACACAGGATGGACATACTTTGTGGCCACAGGCCATCACGGGGCTTTGCAGGGCTGAGACCAGTAACTAAGTGTTTGCTTCCATATTCTGTTCTGGCACTGCACTGATGTTTTCAGCTTTGGCTGAATGTTTCCCCAAAGGAAATAATGTAAATGTCTGAAATCTGTTCTGCTTTGCTGGACCCAACTAATGTGAAGTCCTGAAATCTGATAGTACAGGGGACTGTGTTTTTCTAGTGTCCCCCTCCATGCAGGCAGTATGATGCGCAGTGTAGGATCTTGAGCACTTTAAAATGCTTGTATGACTGTCCTGATTGCAGTATGTAGGATGACAAAAATTTTATCTCTCTGTGCACCTTCACGACAGGACCATCTCCTTATTAACCCTCCGTGTGTGAAATATTTAGTTACTCTGAAGTAGAATTAGAGCTCTTTGGGCGTGGGTGTTTTCCTTCTTGGTTTCTGTTTGGCCTAAAGTGCAATAACTGCTATTATTTGCTGTTTGAATCATGATAGTGCCTTAGACTCCTTTGTGCTAGGTGCTGTGGAAACACAGAGCAGAAAGAGAAAGCTAAGCAAGCAAGCACTGCCCTTTCCTCTTTCAGATCTCTCCCAAAGCCAGTCTCTGCTGTGACACTCTCAAGAAGTCAGACAACCTGTAATGGTTTGGTATGTGTCTGTTAGAAAGGTGTGAGATTTGGTTTTGTGTATGGAAAGAAGCAAGTCGGTGTTGACGTTGGAAATCATCCGGTTGTGTATGCAGATACATAATCACTTGGTCTAATTTTTCATTACCCTCTTTCTTCTTCTTTGTCATTCTTGGTTTTGTTCGCTGCGTCTTGTGCTCTGTAAGGTCTTTGCTGCTGGGGTTTTCTTCTTACTCTGCTGTTTAATGGAGACTTCTGCCACATTGCCTTAATCCTGGCTTTAATATTAATTTGCAAAGCCCTTGCTAGGTCACCGTGAGCACTGAATTTCACAGCCTTGTGTGGTACTGGGAAGCATGACTGAGGAGTTTTACTTGAGGCAAGAACACAGTAAACTCGAGCCGTGGTAAAAGCTTTCTATGATAATAAAACCACACCATAAAGCAAGTTGGGAATATGGTTGTTTAACTGTTAAACTTTAATAGGCCTAGTTGAGCTGTAAGGATGAGCTGTTCTATGTGACAAGTTTTGAAAGAGTGGGAGGAGAACACTCTTTTGGGAGCCTTAGGAAGAAGCTAATTAATTTCACTTACAAGTCACCGGAGTCTTCCAGGCTTGTCCGTAATATGATTCATAACAGCAGCCAGGATGAAGGTAACCAGACTCCTGGCTGTCTGGCCCAAGCAGATCAGGTTCACTTGATGCCATAGGGTCAGGAATAAGCATTTGGCCCACTAAATGGTGTTTGGCGTTGCATGTGGTCTGGTGCCATTTATGGGGTAATTTGCATTTTCCTCTGAAGGATTAAGTTTTGACTGTGAGTGGAGGCATCTTACTCAGTTTAATGGACTGTTTTCCTTAATTAAATGCAAATTTCATTGCATTGCATTTGTATGTCCTGCAGCATCTTGATGCGCTGTTGGTGCACGCAGGGATTTAGGCACCTAGTTTTGAGCTTCTTGTTTGGGAACCTCAGTAAAGTGCTTGTTCATCTAGGCTTCTAGCTATTCAGCCATGAGGAGTAGAGATCCAGAAGACAATCCCATCCCACTGATGCAACTCATATGAGGGCTACATGCACCTTCCTCTCTGGCTGCAAAAGAGGAGCCTTCTGCAATTAGATCTAACTTTGGTGATTTAGTTAAATGCCTGAAGATAAGAGGGTTGAGTCCAGGCCTTAATGGGAACTCTTGTGTAGGTAATGCAGAGCTACTACTTCCTATAAACTTCTGAAACGTTGCTGCGAAGCTATATAAACATTTTTTGGGGTGAGGATCAAAGTCTTGGGCTGCTATATCAGTTAATTGTGGTACGTGCTTTTGACTTGGATTCAGTTGGTGAGAAATGCAGTTGCTAAAAGTCGATGTGTCAAACCAGCTGAGAGCACTTCAAGGAAGGAATCTGAATTTGATTGCAAAAATTAGGGATATTTGCTTCTAGGAGCAGGCTCTCCAACTGAAAATGCACAGCGCCAGTCAGGATTTGGCTCATGAATGAGAAGGATGAGGGTTGAAGGGCTAGTTTCTCTTTTTTTAAAAGTCTGAAATCAACAAAAACTCCAGTGCAATTAATTATTATATTGGTGCCAACCTGATATAATTAAGATTAGAGTTAGGGCCAGCACATATACTTAAATGCCTAATGTACATAACTGTCTGTATACAGGGTATGTGTATTAAAGAAACTAATTGGTTTATACTGGATTTCCAGAATGCTGCTTGCGGTTTCTGTAATTCAATTCTCCAGTCTTTACTGCTTTTTTGGAAATTCTCCCAGGGTAGTTTATTAGTCGCTAGGCTTAGATTTCGGACAATAGATTCAGGTCTCTTTCTCCCTCTCTCTCCTTTTTTTTTTTTTTTTTTTTTTAATATCTCTCCGAATATTTATGCTCTGAAGGTTAAGAGGTGCAATAGTTCCAGAAAGTAAAGTTCTATATTTAACTGCAGACTAGGTGTGGTTCAGACAACTGCAGTGCAAGCTCCCTCTCGCTGCTGTGCTAGTGATGTCAACCTTGACCTGTTCTCTTCTTGAGCCTCCTGCTCATGAAATATGCTGAGTTTTGTGTGTGGTGATGTTGTCGTGTGGCTTACCCTCCTTTGGGAACAGAGCTAAGACTACAGCAGTCCTTTCTGTGAAAACTTGAGGTTAAACTTGAAAGTCTGTTTCTGGTTCAGTTTTGTGTTCTTCGTTGAGTCTTGTCCCAAAGATATTTTTTTTTTTTTTCCCCTGCTTTACTTCTTTTCAACCCTACTCATTAGAACCACGAAATTGAAAATTCCCTTAGGGTTTTCTCTTTTTTAACAAAGCTGTGTTTTTTTGTCTATCTTTTTTTTTTTTTTTTTTTTTTTTAAGTGATTGGTGCTTCTCCTCTAATCATATGTTGGAGTTGAGGTTTATCTTCTTTTTCAGGCAAAAAAAACATCTAAGATTGGCAGCAGAATCAATGACTGTATACATGTTTTAAGGCCCTTTTGCTGAGTGCCATTAAAGACTGGGGGGGGGGGGGTTGAGTGTTGTTTTTTAAGTATATGCTTTATCCAAAGATTAAATTAAAATAACTGTAAATTCTGCTCTAAACAAAATGAATAATTCATCAGTTGAAAGTATTTCAGTTTGTCTAGGGAGCAGGGACTTTGCTTTCTGGTTGAAGGTTATTTGGTTTGATTTTATGGGTTTGGTTTTCTATTTTAACATTTGTCTGTGCTCTTGAAGCATCCTTTTGTAAAGACGTATTTAGATTAAATAAGACTAGATGATATAGATACCTATTATCCCCATTTCATAGATGGCAAAACAGAGTCAGGTGTTTCACTTGGCTTTGTGATCCAAGGCAACTTTATTCATAAGAGAAATGGGTTTAGATTTCCCAAGATACTGAGGGTATAGTTTCATGATACAGCTGAGCTGAATTAACGGTTTGTCAGCATCTCATCCTTAGGTGTTATCCTGTCTCATCACCCTTCTCAATTCCTCCTCCTCAGTTTCCCTGCTCCTGCCACCCTGCATTGTGCCAGATATGTTTCTTGTCTGATTGAAATACCAGCCAATTCAGCTTGGTTCAGAAAAAAAGAAATCCTTTTTATTTCCCCTTGCATTTTATTGAATGGGTTCAGCTTGCTGTGCAATGAGGGCGTGCCAGAACTGGCTCAGGGCAAATGACAGGCAAGCACGGGGAAGGGGAAGTTTAACAAAAAGATGTACAAATTTTGCATGGTGCTTTTTTGGTCTGCTTGGTTTTGTTCTGGTTTTGTTTGGTTTGAGTTGGATGAGTTCCTGGTTTGGTTAAAAGCATGG